TCCAAGAAAAAATACTGGCCGTGAAGACCGACGACTGATTTTGATGTCCAGGTTGTCAAAGTTCGACACTGCTTGTCAGTTGACAACACAGTGGAACAATTTCACACATAAGAATGTGTCTGTGAAAATTGCTAGGCGTCGGTTACATGCTCAGAGAGTGTACAGCAGGGTAGCAAGACTGACACCTCTTATATAGTTACAAAACAGGCAACGTAGAGTAAACTAGGGTCAACAGGATCTGGAACTGGACAGTTCATGACAATTGGTCCTATATATTTTTTCTGATGAGTGTCGCTTTGGTCTGACCTCTGATGACAGACGGGTACTATGCTGGCAAACTGCTGGTAAAGCATTTGAACCACATGCTCTGAATTTTCGAACCCGGAGCAGCATATTCATCATGGTGTGGGGCTGCATCAGCATCCATGGCTTGGGCGAATTGATAGTGGTTAATGGAAACATGAATCACTAGAAATATATCGATGTTTTGGAGTCAGGCTTGCTAACATCTATTACTAACATGTTTGGTGAAAGAAATTATCCATTTGTTCACCAGGATGACAATGCTCCTTGTCACAGGCCCAGAGCAGTTGATGATTGGTTTGACCAACAGGACATTCGCCCAGAGTCCGGATACAAACATAATAGAAAATGTGTGGAATGATATGTCAAAACTTTTTACAAATGCCCGTCTAACCAGCAGAGAAACTCTGTTATATTCAGTGTTTCATGCTTGGGCCAGCATAAGCCCTGAACGCATCAGAAATGAATCCTTGCTTCGTAGACTGGCACCTATTATTAGGTCACGTGGCTATGCCACTAAGTACTAATTTTGGACTTGAGACTACATATTTTGGTAGAATGTATATTTTGTTCTCATTTTGTGATTTTTTGTGAAATTTGATGTTAATAAAATGATACTAGGAGCATATCATTCCACAGTCATTTATCTCCCCCATAGTATTGGCTCAGTAGGGGTGACACTTCTTTTGTCCAGTGTGTGTATTTTAAATGAGTCAAACAATTCATTCATTCAGGATGTTTAATACGCAAAAGTTCTATGTAAAAATCATACTTAAAGTCCATTACTTTAAATTAAAAGTTATCAGTGACCGTGATAACAATGTCTTTGAAGATCTGACAGCTCTTAGTATTAGGAAAGTACATTTTTTGGTGTGAAACTTTTTGAAAAATTTAACTCTGGTAGTAAACGACCGATTTTGTGATCTCTGAAGATGTTGTGAAGTAGTAAATTTGCCAGCTCAGTCCCGTAGCCGGAGGGGGGGGGGGTCGAAAATAACCCCATTTTTGCCAGGAAAAAGGTCCCCTCTAAGTAAAATTCTATCTAGGTATATAAATTTTTCAAAGTAAAAGGTCCACATTTTCAGAAAAAGAACCCCCTTTTGAAATTGCTGGCTACGGGCCTGCAGCTCATCTCTGGGACTTTTTTAAATTTTAATTCTGCCTATAAAAGTTCGATTTTGTGATCTTTGAACACGTTGTAGTGATTTTGCCAACTCATCTCTTCTCCCATCATTACTTTCTCTGTTTGAATTTTGAGTGCTTCATCAAAGAGAACTGTTTCAATATTGTTATTTTTGTAAGACGTGCCAAATTTGGATGGCATATCCCACTGTAGGTCTTATAACAGGTAAGTACTGTAGGTCTTATAACAGGTAAGTACTGTAGGTCTTATAACAGGTAAGTACTGTAGGTCTTATAACAGGTAAGTACTGTAGGTCTTATAACAGGTAAGTACTGTAGGTCTTATAACAGGTAAGTACTGTAGGTCTTATAACAGGTAAGTACTGTAGGTCTTATAACAGGTAAGTAGATGCATGAGTTTATTTTACTTTCAATAACATCTTAAATGTCCAAAAGATAACCCAAGAATACATTTGTTCATGCAATATAAGAAAAGCAGTAAGTCAGATTATGTTTTCAATTGAATTATTTGATTTTTTTACAACAGTTGACTCAAAAACTTGAGAAGAAAGTTGTCCCATTACATTAAAAACCTATAATTATGCACCAAACCTGCCATTTCATGTTAACCTAAGTTTCATGTGATTGCTTGCAGTGTCAATACACTGACTACTCAGAAAACAGCTATAACAAAGTATAGCACTACAATTTACAAACACTCAAGTATTCAAAAAAGTATTCATATGTTAGCAAAAAGTTTTTGTATATGACAGATCTACGTATTTGATTTAGCTGTTGAGGTTTTGGTCTGTTCACTTTGACAGACTTGGTCAGAACTAAATTACCTGTTCGGGTGAAAGTAAACAGGTATTAATTACCTCAGTCTTGTGACCTAGTCTGTCAAGAAACTGAGACCCAATAAAATATATGTACATATATGAATATAGCACTGTGTTTAAAGTCAAAGCTGTTACTTGCCTATAAAATGAGATTATCCACACTGATATTTTACTATGAAAAAAGCTCTTAGATATAAAGCCATCCTTGACCCTTGCTTGTTTGGAAAGACATAATAGAAAAAGGTACAGTATTGAGCATATTGCTGTGTCAAGTAAACATTATGAGGGGTTAAGACTGGGTTCCCATACACAGATTGATCCAACTGGATCGATCTAACTCCCTGGGGAGTCTCACAAAATTGTAATCAACTAACTGGCTTAAATGTCTGTCACCCCTACCAAATAGGCTAGGGGGTAAAGTTAATTACCCTTTAACAGCTTTACTACGCATGACAGACATTCAAGCTGGCCAAGTTGACAGCAATTTAGTGAGACTCCCCAGGGAGATAGATCGATCTAAATATCTGTGGGAATGGTTCCTAAGACCAGTGGACTTACAGATCAAATATGGCTGACCCACTGAAAAGCTTGCTGCTTATTCCCAGCTAGACTTCGAATAGTTTCCCCATGGGAAAAACGCAACAAGCACATAAGTGAATCAGCCATATTTGATCTGCGGATCTGTTAGTCCACTGTTTTGAGTGTGTTCTTAGTGGTTTTTCTCTCCAGCAGGGACTATATTTGATATTTTGTTTTCAAAGGGGGTGGGTGGGGGTGGGAGAATGTGGGTGTTTCTCCCTGAATCCACCAATGATAAGATTCATCATATGACCAAAAGGCAATAAAACAAAGAGCACATTCATAACAAGATGATCTGCAGACTAACAGATCTGCTATTCAAATATGGCGGACTCACTTGAAAGCAGGGCCACGAAATACATAAGTCTCCTGCTCCAGACTTGCCATACTCCACAATTAAACCAATTAAATCTTGGCTCCCAGGTTTAATTGCTAGGGCAGGGATGGCACGTGTGGATCGAGACCATCAGAGTATTGGGCAGTTTGCTTTTCAGTGAGTTCCGAGGCCATATTTAGTCTGCAGATCTGTTAGTCAGCAAGTCATCTGTCCTGAATGAGCTCAAAGTCTGTCAATATACATGCACCCAGACTAAATAGACCCTTGCACCATTTTTCAAAGAGACCTGCCACTGCTAATATCTACATTGTAAGATTATAACCCCTCGAAAGACCTTAAATTATTACGAAAGCTTAAAAATAACAATAATAATACAAGTAAATAACATATCACTTAATAAATGGGCAATTAAGAAAAATTTCACTAATTTCCCCTATCTAACAGACCCTGCTCCATATCTCAATTCTTGCTCAAACTGTTCTGCAGTGAAGGTCCCGTCCAGTCTTTCACAGTTTGGATTAAATACAGAATATGCACTGGGTGCTCCATCTTTTTTCACTCGACTTCCTGTGTTAGCATAAACCACATAAAACATAGAGAGCACAAAATAAACAGCACCAAACTGGAGCTCAATGAAGAGTCCCCAGAGAATAAACCATAGACAGATTTTCAAGTAGTTTGGTTTCAAGATTTCTGGAATGTAATTGCGTATCCAGGGAGGTTCTTCCAGATCAGCTGGACGAAAGGTGTGATTTCCATCATTATCTGTTCCTTCTTGGTCCTCTTGTGCTTCACTGTGATATTTATCATGGTTATTTACTGGTCTGTTTTGTTCATGTTTAATCTGAAGATTTGAAAGAAGACATCAAAGAACAATGGGTTATAACTTTTCAGTAGAACAGAGAAATGTAGAAAACGACTGTAAATCACTTATTCCAATCACCGTCTCCACCATTTGAACTACAGACAGTACTCCTATTCCATTTTCAAAGGGTTATTACTTATACTAAACTATTGCAAAAGGAATAAAGATGCAAGTAGGTCAAAACAATTTTGATGCATTGGATGGAATTTAACTTGAGCCAAGTTTTTACCACAGTTTTTGGCCTTACAACCTGCTAGGTAAGGAAAATAAGACCGAAAACGGACACAAGCATGATTAATATGAAACCCACTGCCACCGTCACCAGCTTGAGAAAGGGGAACTTACGGTCGTCTTTATCGAGTTTCCATTCCCAAATAATCTATGTATCAGGGGAGTTTTGTTTTCTTTTGATTTTTTAGCTCGATACTCAGCTAACTTTTCCTGCACGGATTTGTCCATTGCAGTGAGAGGACGCAAGATGTGATCATAACTAATAACATCCGCTGCAGTGGCTGGTTGAGCAATGTCTACATCACAACGACGTACATGGCTCAGGAGGTCCCGTCTTCAACCAGACGAAGCCATCATCAATTCGCACAGAAAAATGTATACATATTTTCACTGTAATTAAAATTTTTTAGAGATTGCCCAAATACAGAACCGGGAGGGGGAGGGTGGTTCTGTGGCAGATTTAGAGAGGGGGAGGTCACAGGTGTCCTGACCCCCTCTTCGATATCTGGTCCCCTCTTGAAATTAGAATTTTGACAAGCTGAATCATAGTTCTAAACCGTACCAACTGGCACCGTTTGCCCTTTACATTAAATACAATTTTTTTCCAGGGCCCTTCACCCAAACAATACGCCAAGTGGGGGTGGGGGTGGGGGTGGGTTGGGGTGGGGTGGGGTAGGGCCATCTTCGCAACCCCTGACCCCCTCTTCAAATAATCCTGGATCCGCCCCTGGGGTTGACGACAGAAATTATGTATTCTCGGTACAAGTGGTGAGCATACTGTAAGGATAGCATGAAGAGTTTCGACCCACGAATTTTTTTTTTACAAAATTAAAGTATATATTTCTGTTTCATTTTGTTATTTGTAAATGTAAAAAAGTCTGCGTACACCCCTCAGTCCACTGCATGTGATTAGAGGAAGAACTGTGTAATATCACTTTGTGTTTAAGAACTAGAAGGCATTTTACATCACATGCTCATAGGCAGAAAGGCACAACTTGAAGGAGTAGACAACAGTAGAAATTTACACTGCAATTTTTTTACTATTGACAGATCTTGGCCCCAAACTCTCGATATCAGCATCCTTTCCTTCTAAAAATGATTATGAACAAAACTTAACTTTTGATCCATTGTGTAAAATTGTGGAAGCTTGGAACCTCAAGATTGACAGTTTTTGTAGCCTTCTTTATAAAATCCAAAAATATGTACTTAGGGAAATTTTAAACTTATATGATTAGACCATAATTTAAGAATTTTCACCGTAGTTGCAGATTTTTAACAGATATCATAGTATAATAAATATATAAATTATATATCATGAAAAGAAAACAAACATTTTACTTGCATCACTATGTTTATTTATTAAAACTATAAAAGTCTCACAGGACATTTAACTTGTTCTTTGTAAGTGATATTCTGACGTCTTCGCAGGTATGATGTACATAGCACTGAACTGAATACTTTATTAAGTATTTGTTTTAAGTTACATTTAATACAAGATTAGAACAAAATGAAGAATTTAGTTTTACAGTGTTCTGATAAATGACCACATCTTTTAAAGTTGGTATGACAAAACCAGTACAAAGATTAGAGTAAGCTGGTCTAGTGTTGTTAAAATGGTTGATCTCTACAATATGGAGGCCGAGCTGTCCTAGCTAGGCTCCTTCAGTCTGAGAGTGCATTTTGTCCATATATTTTTGTTTTTGTTAAAATGTTTATTGTTATGTATGTCAAAAGCAATTTTTATCAGAAAACAAGCAAGTTTTTCACCATATCTGCTGTTTATAACTGGATTAAAGTAACCTTAGGGACCATTCCCAACCCTATCGTACTAACTGTGGATTGATCTATCTCTGAGGGGATTCTCGCTAAATTGCAATCAACTTAAGGGGCTTAGGTGTCTGTCACGCCTATTGAAGCTGCTAGGGGGTAATTAATTATCATTTAGCAGCTTCAGTGGGCGTGCCAAACATCTAAGCCACTTGAGCTGAAAGCTATATAGCGAGAAACCCCTTGGAGATGGATCGATCCTGTTAGATCGATCTAGGTATGGGAACCCAGTCTTAAAGTTAATAAACCTTTAGATCATCCCTGGACTAATAAGCCTTTTGATTAGTCTAAGAATTTTTTTGGTAAAATCTTTTCCTTTTTTCATATTTTGAGACCAATACATCTGGAGATGTATGAACTATAAACCTCCGGACTCAAATTTATCAACTGTCATATTGCACCTATTCAAACTCTGAATATTATCAACAATAAACATCTGTGTTTACTGCCATGGTGAAATCAAACTGCTTTGCAAAACTATTTTCTATTTTTCTGAAAATACTGATCATTACTGAGTTAAGTATAAATTCCCTTATTTTTAAGGTGTTAGTTTGTTGTCATTGACCAAAATTTGCCCAGAAATTTGTAATGGTTTTGACATGATGTACATTCACAAGGACAAGAGTTTAACCAGGATTTCTCAGCTGTAGATTAAAGACTAATACACTGTTGTCAAGTATATGGAATACAGATGAGTGCAGCTGTATTACACATAGATGAGAAGATGACAGATTGCTGAGTTACTACTACATTGTGAACTGGACATTACATCACTTGGTGAGGGTTCAAACACTAAAATACAGTCATTATCAGAAGACCATCCCTGCATTCTTGCTTGTCTGAATATCTGTTGTTGGTGCTAGCAGTCTGCTGCCCCTACTTTGAGGGCCTCGATGACACTGCGGACAGTGGGGAAAGTAGCTGTGACCTGGGGAAGCTGAGAAACTGGGACTGTAGTCCTAGAAATATAAACAATGTATCAGTAAAGAATAGAATTTCTGATGTTTCTTATGCAGAAGCTTGTTCTGGCAAAAATGGATCTATACATAGAAATCTAATAAACATGTATCAATGTGACATTAACACATACATGAAATAAAATTCATGTAAAGTACCCTGATCTAACTGAAGAAATAATTTCACTACATTTTACACAAATAAAGCTGTTGGTAGCTCAGAGGTGTGGTAGAATTAATTGACTTTAATGTTGACTAATTAAACTTACTTTTTGACATTCATCCACTGTTTGGCCACCAAAATAAAAGCATCTGGACCTCCGGACAACATGGCCTCTAGATCCAGTAACTGAAAAGTTTAATTCAAATATTTCTTTATTTTCAAAAAAAAAAAAAAAAAAAAAACTGCATTTTATATTTACAAAAATTCAACCAAAACGAGAGTAAAAACAGAGCAAGAGTAAAATATGCACAGATAATAAAAATGCTAACATTGTTTTATGCTTTCAAGCATGATGACACTCATAAAAATGACCTAGATTGAAATCCTACCTATTTAATTTTGATGAAATATAACTTACAACAAGGGTTACTGAAGTGGAAATCCCCCTCCTTACCTTTCCCTGTGGTATTTTTCCTGTTACTTCTTTCCCCATAGACATGAACAGTCCCAAGATGACAGAGTAAGCAACAACACTAGAATACAGCAACCAAAACTATGTTCACATATTTGCTTTAACCACAGACTAAATTAAAAGTAAAGCCCCAATTCTTGACCACAACAAGAGACTATTCAGGCATCAGTACATCTCATAACTTTTAACTCCTTTAGCAACAAACAATTTTATGGTTTTTATGCCAAGGTGCCCCTGGATAAAAAGAAAACATTTGCCATGAACAGACAAATGAGGATAAAACCTCTCTGTGAGTAAAACTGAGTTTTTGTAGTTAAACATTATTAAGGTTAATGTCACTTTCTGATATTAAATATTTGATATGTTTGATAATACTTGTTTATCCTAAAAAGGGAACTGAATTAACAAGCAGTTGAATGAGGTGCATCATCTATGGAAATATAAACATGTTACACAGAAGTAAAATAAGAAGACTATCAATACCTTGTTCCCCTTGACAGGGGCATGAGATTGTAGAAGTAATATCCTAAGGACAGGATGAGATTCAGTACATTATCAAATTCCTGAAAAAACAACAACAACAAAGATTTAGAATGAAAAAAAAAATAGGTTAAGTGACAAAACCATTGATGTCTTTGGGGAATTTACAGGAAAATGTTTGTCCCATTCCTGTCTCACTCAAAACAGCAGTCCAATAAGGTTGAAATACAGTTTGACTTTTTTAAATTTGGTTATTTAATATGTTCAGCAAAATGTAGCAGAATAGAGCATCTGTCATGTTTAAGATAAAAATAAATTTGTTACCAACTGATTTTAAGTTAAAGGAAGCAATCTCAAAAAGCAATTTATTGTACTTCATCCATAAAACAGTAAATAACTGAGATGACTATATTTCGTTACATCCTAAAATTTAATACAATTCTATCAAGACTGCTCAGATCAATGTTTCAATAAAGAACTGAAGGAAAAGATTAAAACATTACAGCTATTTTACTGGCTCCTGTTCTTCTGACTTCCTTGTCTAATTTAGTGAATAGATAATTTAGCTCAGAGTGGAAGGACGCTGTCCGTGCCTTGGTGGTGGGCGTGTTTAGGGAGAAAGTCACCTGACCATTGCTGGAAATAAAATCAATTATTAAAATCTAACCTACCTTCTTTAAAGTACAAATATAATTAAGGGCATCCGGGCAAATTTTTAAGATTATGAACACTATTGAACTACATAAGAAACAACAGATTTTAATGCAGCATTTTACATTCATACCAATTAATATAATGTATCTTAATTTCCACAGTGGCTCTGTTCACTTTTAAGTTCTTCTTTAGATTAGGTGAATTAGGTGATATCCCTCAGCCTTTACTTTATTTTGACATGAAACAAGAGAATTACAACAAACATCAGCATATACAATGAGTTTATTTGTTTTTTCTTCCTATCATGAATAAATAACTGAAACTGAAGCAACTTCTGTGTTTCTATTATATCTTACCCATCCTGGGTCAGGGTTAATATTAATCCCTCATGGCGGTTGTTGTTTTTATCTTGTGAGCTTGGCACTTGTGTGGTCACCATGAAGCCTTGCTGATTCAGATTACGTTTCTGAAATAGTATTTAAAAAAATATTGCTCTTCACTATTTATCACAGGTATTAAGTTTTAAGCAAAAACATTTTTAGTAAAAGGATACAATTTTAAAATTACAAATTCTGTAAAGAAGCATTTCTTTAAAAAAAAATTTCAATCTCTTTAAAAATATCTCAATTTACAAATCTCCTTAAGATAGTATATAAACCAGTTACTAATATATCAACAAAATATATATTTCAAATGGATTCCCCTCTTACTCGTGCTATTTGTAAAATATCATGGACACTTTTGGCTTTGTCTAAATCTTCCTGAAACCCAG